ATGGCTCAGTGGAATAAGCGCTTCCCTGGCAAGTGCAAGGGCCTGAGTTCAATCCCTGCTTCCGCAAAAAAAAAGAATCTCACTGTCGCCCAGGCTGGCTCTGAACTCCTCAGCTCAAGCAGTCCTTCTGCCTCAGTACTCCTAAGTAGCTGGGATTTCAGGTGTACACCTCTGGGCCTGGCTCCATGATCTTTCTTGAAAAATATTAATTATTACTTGCCATGATGAACAAATACTTTCTAAAACTAGTAACTGGGTGTCTGTACTTAAGAAATTATTAAAAAGCAACAGGTTTTAGGCTTGCTGAGTCTACCTCTGGCAATGCCAAATTCTGTTTTTAGGTAGAAGTTTCTCTTGTCTGAAAAAGTAGAAGAATCACTGTTAAATCAACAAGTGGAAATGAACTTTTCTATAGGTTGCTTATTTTTGAGAATAAAATCAAATTCTGTCCTGGGATGATTCAGACACATTAGGCACCTTAGACCCTAAATATATTTATATGCTTAAAATAAATAATTTCAGTTGACTGTGTTATTTATAATAGCAAAATATGGGAGGAAATTGAATATTTGGAAATTGGGGAGTCCTTTAATACATTTTCACAGGTTCAATATTCTTTTTTTAATACTGAAAGTTAACCTCAGGGGCTTGCATGTACTATGTAAATGTTCTACCTTTGAGCTATATCTCCAGTTCTTTTTTTTTTTTTTTTCGGGACTGGGGATTGAACCCAGGACCCTGCGCTTGCCAGGCAAGTGCTTATTCTACTGAGCTATCTTCCCGGCCCCTATCTCCAGTCCTTTTTAAAATTTTATTTTGAGGGTTGACCAAATAGCTCAGCAGATTAAAGTCCCTGCAAGTAGGCTCAAGGGCTAGGGATTCGATCCCTGGGCCTGCAGTGCCAGCCCTGTCCCCAGCGCGCTCTGAGACAGCAATTGAGATTGGGTGTGGTGGTGCAAGCCTGTAATCCCAGCTCTTGGGAGGCTGTAAACAGGTGGATCACTATGAGTCCAATCTAGTAGTGAGACCCTGAACACCCTGTAGACCCTTCCCTAAGATACAGTAAATAAATAAATAAATAAAGTTTTATTTTGAGTTGAGGTCTTGCTAAACAGAGTAGACTGACCTTGAATATGCATTTCTTCTGCCTGAGCCTATTATGGAGCTGGATTGCTGGCATGCACCACTGTGCTTGTTTTATTTATTTATTTTTTTAATTCACTTTTTGAGATGGTGTCTTATTTTATTGCCCAGCTTAGCCTTTTTTTTTTTTTTTTTTTTTGAGACAAGGTCTTACTATTTAGCTCAGGCTGGCCTTGAACTCACTTATGTAACACAGACTGGCCTAGAACACTTAAGTGATCCTCCTGCCTCAGCCTCCTGAGTGCTAGGATCATGGGGGTGCACCACCACACCTGGCCCGAGTTAGCCTTGAACTCATGGGCTCAAGGGATTCTCTTGCTTTAGGCTCTGAGTAGCTGGGACTCTGGGTATGTGCCACTGTACCCAGTTTGAGTATACTTTTTGAGAAATTTATATAAAAGGGCTTCAGCAATACACAAAACTAAATCTTAGGTGTGATCTCAATGAAAAAGATAAAAGAAATATGCAGAACATATACTAGAAAACATGCACCAAGAATTGTTTATAGTTATTTGAGAACATTTTAGTTTTTTTCTGAAAACTTTTTTTTTCTCAATTAGCTACAGTGAGCACCTATTTTATAGACTTGATAAAGTATTTTATTAAAAACACAGTTTTGGGGCTGGAGAGATAGCTCTGTGGTCTAAGCACCTGCCTGGGAAGTGCAAGGACCTGAGTTTGATCCCCGGTACTACATGCTTTGCTGACCGTGGAACCCCAGGTGCTCTATGCTGGCCCGAACCTGGGCAAGGTGGTGCATGCCTGTAATCACAGCGCTGGGGAGGCTGAGACAGGAGATTACTATGAGTCTGAGCTGTGTAGCAAGTACCAAATCAGTAAATCAAACTAAAAATTAAACAAAACAAAACACAGTTTCTTCAGCTCTTGTACTCTTGGATACTAGATCTTATAAATAAATCTGCTCAGGTAGTATTATTGCCCTGATTTTATTTTTAAAGAAATACTGTAATTTTTTTTTAACTTATTAACTACATTCATTGCAAAGAACTTGGTATTTACTTCGTGTTATTTTTGTTGTAGATTCTGGATTTATTTCATTTTCAAGATAAACTGACAGCGCGACAATTTCAGAGAATTGCCACCACCACATTTATCACTATGTCTAGAGAACACCCACAGTTGGCAGCAAATTATTTGCTTCAGCCATTGTTAGCTCCTCTTCATCGATGTTTGGATACAGCAGGTAAAGCAGGAAGTCTTGTAATTGAGTTTCTCTCCCTCTAGAGAACCATCTTCAGTGTTTCAGATTTAAGTGATTTAAGCCTGTTGCATTTCAGTGTCTTCAGCATCAACCTTGCAACTTTTTTCTTTTTTTTTTCTGTTTTTGTGGTACAAGGAATTGAGCCCTGGCCTTTTGCACTGAGTTGTATCTCCAGGCCTTCTAACTGAGTTATTTTTATACAAGATTTCACTAAGTTGTCCATATTGGGCTCTAACTTGGAATCATCCCAGTGCACTAGAGTGCTAATATTACAGGTGTACACCACCAAACCTGGCCCCCTTTAGAAAAATGGGCAGAAGTTCAGAGACTGTATCACACATTCAAAGCTTCTCCCAGATGGATCAACAGTTCACATTTTGATCATGATTTCTTCTTTTTTCTCTACACATGTAAAAGCGGTTTTTCTGGAGCATTTGAGTATTAGTCATAGACATCATGACACTTCACCCAAACACCTCAGCATATATCTCTAAAGAAAAATGCCAGTCTCTTGGATGACTGCAATGCAGTGATCACACTCAGAAAATTTAACACTGATGTAGTACTGTCAGGATTTGTCTAAGCCGTTATTTATTCTCTCAAAGAATATTCATCATCTGTTTGCCAGACAGTCTTCATGTGTTAGGTTACGTTTACAGCACCAGCTACCTATTTTGCACTTTGTTAGCATCTGTTTGTGGGGCTGGGGGCACAGCTCAGTGGCCTAAGAGCCTAACTGGCATGTGCAAGGTCCCAAGTTTGATCCCTGGTACCACAAAAAAAGAAAAGAAAAAAAAAGGCATCTATTGGTAACAGAAGGGACTAAGTAAGACTATGACTAATCTTATATAGTTAGATCATTGTCATTGAGAACCAATCTAATAACACTTTTTAGTTTTTCATATTGTTATTATATGTTTAAGAGTGACAATTATAAGTTACTGCATTTTATCATACAGAATTTTTTTCACATTAAAAAGCTTTGTGGGGGCCAGGGAGATGGCTCAGTGGAATAAGCGTTTCCCTGGCAAGCTCTGGCCTGAGTTCAATCCCCAGTTCCGAAAAAAAAAAAAAAAAATAAAAATAAAGAAGCTGTTGACTTGAGCCTTTTACAGCTCAGCATATTAATATGAGTTCAATCCCCAGTTAAAAAAAAAAAAAAAAAAGCTTTGTGGCTAGGAGTGGTGGTGCATGCCTGTAACCCTACCACTTGGGAGCTTGAGGCAGGAGGATTATTGTGAGTTCAAGACCAGTCTGGGCTGCAGAGTGAGCTCAAGGCCATCCAGAACTGCATAGTAAGACCCTACCTCAAAAAGACAAAAATAAATAAATAAATAAAAATGTAGAACTAGATGTGGTGGTGCTCACTTGTAATCCAACTACTTGGGAGGCTGAGGCAAGAGGATCATTGACATGTGATCAGCCTGCATCACATAGTACAGTTTATCTCAAAATAAAAATAAAAAACAACTGGGGACGTAGTTTAGTGCTAGAGCATTTGCCTAGCATGCTTAAGGCTCTAGATTCTATGTCCAGTACCAAAAGAAAAAAGAAAAGAAAAAGTAGGACATTTAGGGGCTGAGAGTATAGCTAAGATAGAGTGCTTACATTAGATTTGATTCCCTGCACTGTAAAACAAAACACATTTACAGAATGGCAGTGAGTGACTTGGAAGAAAATTGTAAAGACAATAGTAAAATAGAAGACTGTGTAAGAAATGTCATGTGATTTGGGTTTTTGGGTGATATAGTGGACAGTATATCATAGAAAACTTGAATATCAGTAATGGTGTTAAAATATTTCCAAGGAGTTGAACCCTTATGTGCAATTTTAAGAATCCTCTTTCCTCTTTCCAACCTGCCATCTGTGGTAGAACTGCTGCCAAGATGCAGATTTTCATAAAAACCCAGATAGGGAAGCCCTGAGCACTATAGAAAATATAAAGGCCCAGCAAAGACTGGCTGGTTAGTAAGCAACTGGAAGGTGGACATATTGACTACAGCCTTCAGAAGGCATTTATTTGGCTGGTGAGATGGCTCAGTGGTCTAAAGCACCTACTTGGAACAAGCTTGGCAAAGCACAGGGACCACGGTTTGATCCCCCAGCACCACATGCCAGCTAGCTCCGCCCCCAGGTGGGCTGAGCTGGCCACACACACACACACACACACACACACACACACACACAGAGAGAATAAATAAATAAATGTTTAAAAAAAAAAGGAATTTATCACTTGTTTTGTGTTGAGACTGTGGTAGTGCCAAGAAAAGGCAGAAGTTTTATACCAGTCCCAAGAAGAATAAGCATAAGGTAAGGTAAGGCCAGGGATATAGCTTAGCGGCCCTGAGTTTGATTCCTGGTACCAAAAAAATAAAGGTAGTTAAGCCGGCTGTCTTAAAAAAAAAAGATAAAAAAAAGGTTGAGTGGATTGTCTTGAAATACTACATGGTGGATAAAAATGGCAAAGTCAGCCTCACCGGGAGAGCCCTTCAGATGACTGTGGTACCATAATTTTTATGGCCACTTTGCTTGTAATGACTGTGCCAAGTGTTGTCTGGTTTACTGCTTCAACAAATCAGAAGACAAGTAATTATTATTATTTTTTCTCTTTTTATTATATGAGATAAGTAATTATTAATAAAATAAATGAGTCAGAGCCCTCAAGATAGCTCAGCAGACTGAAGCGGCTGCTTAGGCAAGCTTAGGCAAGCTCAGGGATTGTGGTTTGATCCCTGGCACCACATGCCATGCCAGCCCTTTCCCCAGGGGAGGCTGAAAGCAGGAGGATCACCATGAGTCCGAGCTGCATAGTGAGACCCTGTGACAACCAATTACATTAAAAAAAAAAAGAAAAGACAAGACATGAGTCAGGCTGGGGATGGTGGCATATGCCGCAAGCCCCCCCTCAGGAGGCTGAGGCTGGAGGATCACTGTGACTTCAAGGCCAGCATGGGCTACATAGTAAAACCTTGTCTCAAAAAAAGACATGAATTAAAAACAAAACAAAAAGCTCTAGTCCATATACTTCAATTTTAGCTTCAATAGTACCAGTGGTGTGTAATAAAAATGTATATGTAAGTGTAAAGACCTCTTAATACTTAAAAAACCCAGGGCTGGTGGGATGGCTCAGTGGTCTAAAGCACCTACTTAGAGCAAGCTTGGCAAAACACAGGGACTGCGGTTCAAT